ATCTGCAACAAAGGGTAAAGGACGCACGGGAGGCTGCTACTCAAACTGACGCGGAAGAAATGGCCGTGCAAACTAGACCACGAGTGACCACTGCCAACACCGACGACACCTCCAGCATTGAAGATGCCGTGGCGGACCGTGCCCTCCACATATTGGATCTCACCTCCATCCTTGAAGCATCACAGGTGATTTCCAGCGTTCTGCGGGTGGACGAGCTACTGCGTACCATGTGCAAGATTATCATGCAAAGCTGCCATGGTGTCGCTACCCTAGCAGCCATTGTCACCAACGAGGAGCAGAAGGTCGGGTGGGCAGTGGCGGCCAGTGGGAATGCCGCCGGACATATCAAAGTACATAATCCTCCAACCCCAATCCGCCAATCGAACCTTGTGGCCGAGAGCATCGTCAACTACTGTGTGCGCTTCCGCGAAGCGGCGTATTTGCCGGATGTCCTCCAGGATCCGCGGTTTAGCCACGTTAGTGAAACCTGGGTTGCGGAAAACCCGGTCAGCAAATCTGTCATGGCCTTGCCCATTTCGCCCGGCGGCGACGAGAGTGGACCCAATGTGGTGCTGTACCTGGAGGGTCCACCGAACGCCTTCTCGTATCGTACTCGGGTCGTTTTGCAGTTGCTCGTGGTGCAGCTCGGGATCAGTTATTCCAATGCCCTGACACTGCAGGAAGTCGAACGCGTCTCCACCATCAATCAATCCATGGTTGAGGCACAGAAGAAGGCCCTAGCGGAAGCTATGGCGGCTGAGCAGAAAGCAAATGTAGCCAAGGCGGAGGCCCTGCATCATGCCAAACTGGCGGAAGAGGCAGCTAAGGCCAAGAGCAGCTTCCTCGCCAATATCTCCCATGAGCTACGGACTCCTCTGAACGGGGTCATTGGCAACTCCGAACTCTTACTCAACAGTCCACTGCCCGAGGCGCAGTTGGAAATGGCCGAGTCGATCCGCATGTCGGCGAACCTGCTCCTCGCCGTGATTAATGACATCCTCGACTTTTCCAAAGTTGAGGCGAACAAGATGCAGTTGCACGTTGTCCCATTCGACATCGAGAGGATGGTAACGGAAGTCGTTCGCTCGGTTCCCGCCGACTCCAAGAATGGGCCCAGGTCGAGCGACGTCCACATCGTGCACGACATTCAACTCCAGGAAACGCGTCACGTGTGTGGTGATCCGGTGCGCCTGCGGCAGATTCTAGGAAACCTGCTAGGCAACAGTATGAAATTTACAGAAAAGGGGACTATCACTATCGGAGCCCGCGCGGAAAACGAAACCGAAGACTCTGTCCGTCTTTCCTTCTGGGTGGCGGACACGGGGATCGGCATCCCGGCTGCACTCATCCCGCGGTTGTTCAGACCCTTCACCCAAGCTGATGCCAGTACCGCGCGCCGGTTTGGTGGTACCGGACTAGGGCTCAGCATTTGCAAACTTCTGGTGGAATTGATGGGCGGCACAATCGACCTCAAAAGCACCGAGCACGTCGGAACGACAGTTTCTTTTGCACTCACATTACCCAAGGCGATCCCGGGAGATTCGGGACGCACTACACCGACATGGTCCAGCGACGGCAGCCAGGGCGTGATCGATCAACGGCCGCCGTTAGAGTTGCTGGATTTATCTAACACTCGCCTTGCCGACCTGCGTGTCTGCATCGCAGAGGACAACCTCATCAATCAGAAGATCACCGTTCAGTTTCTCAAGAAACTAGGTTTTACCCAGATAGACACCTACAACAACGGCCTCGAAGCTGTAGAAGGCATCCAAAAACAGGCCCTCCGGGACCAACCTTACCACATGATTCTGATGGATGTTCAGATGCCCGTCATGGACGGGTATGACGCCACGCGGCGTCTGCGACAGGATCCCATGGATGCTGTTAGGCGGATACTCATTATCGCGCTTACAGCGTCGGCGATTCAGGGCGATCAGGAGCGTTGTTTGGCGTCGGGGATGAATGATTACCTGGCGAAGCCAGTCCTGCTGGGGGCTTTGAAAAAGAAATTCAGCAAGTATTTGAGGATCGCATGAGTGTGATCCTGGTTCTGGATATCATTGTCCTGTGGTGGTTTTTGATTGATAATACCCGCTTAGGTTTATTCCTCTACAAATCTATTTTATGCCCACATTTATCCGCGACAGAGGCCTAGAAGTATAATGAAGTAGCACCCATACTCTGGATTCATCGCTAAAGGTAACAAGGGCTCATGTCTTCGGGAACCAGAATCATATATATTCAAAAGGCATGTGAAGCGACCTCGGAACGGGGTCATCTACCATCAGGTCACCTTAATAGGAGGCCCCGAAAGACTCAACATGAGCAGTGCAGATCTGGCCGCCGTCTGACCTTTTTCGAATGGAGAGTTTACCCCACCGGTTGGGCGAGGATCGGCCAGGATTGTCAGCATCACTCGAACCACAGCTGTGATCGTCCCCGAGGGCGGCTGAGACACGTCACTAAGAGCTTTCCTACTCTGATAGGAGCGTAAGTTAGACGCTAACCTAAGGGATTTTCATTGAAACTGAACAGTTGTTGTGCATGAAAGTTGCCAGTTCGTCTTAATGTGTCTGAGAACCTAACCCTAAGCTGCTGTGATCGACATGATCGGCAAGAAGCATGATCAGTGGCTGGCTCAGCCAACTCACGTTGGAACACTCCAATACATAAATGAGAACACAGATCCCGGCTATCCTTGATATGCCACCTATTGCATCCTTACCCCTCCCTCGTATGCTGTAGCCATGGCAGATACACCACGACGCCAAATTGTCCTGTGTTTCGATGGCACAGGAAACACATTCCGTGCTGATGGCACGGAAACGAATATCCTCAAGATTTGTCGAATGTTGGAAAAATCGGATGAGCAATGTCAGTATTTCCTTTTTGCGTTTTCCGCTTCATAAAGAACGAAGTCATTTGTCTGATTCAAAGTCTAACCCTGATTAGTGTGCTACTATCAACGTACGACCGCGTCCTCCCCCGTAACAATCCAGACTAACACACTCAGCGGGCATTGGCACCGAGATAACGCCCGGCTCACTCGCAGCCATGACGCTGAAGAAGAGCAGCCGCCTGGGAAGGAGCAAAACACTGAGCCAGGCGCTGGGAAATTCATTCGACCAGCACGTCCTCGGCGGCTACCGGTTCCTCATGCGTCACTACCGAACCGGGGCCGAGATCTACATTTTTGGCTTCTCTCGCGGCGCCTATACAGCTCTTTTCTTGGCCAACATGCTGGATTACGCCGGCCTGCTGGGTCCGGACAACGAAGAAATGATCCCTTTTATCTGGGAAGCTTTTTCGAAATTCAAGCTGAGAGTATATGCGGGGAGTGATCAGCGCAAAAAAGCGTTTGAGTTTCTCTATCATTGCCGGAAAACACTATGCCGCCCGGTTGTCAGGGCTCGCTTCGTGGGCTTGTTTGATACCGTCAACAGCATTGCAGACTTTGAAATCTTTAATAATATGAGCACCTCGGCCGTGAGAACACGCCATGCTGTGAGTATCGACGAACGCAGATCCAAATTTGAGCCTGTTCTGTTGCGCCCTAGAAATGCAGACAAGCCTCGAGTGGTCCGTCACCACCGGCGTACGAAGGCTTCCCCTCCCCAAGAACCTCCAGGAGAGGCCTCAAACTCAGTGGAAGATGCTGCTGCAGCTCCTGTCACTGATGTTACTGAGAAAGAGGATGAGGACGAGGATGAGGATGAAGTTTGTGATGTGCAAGAGGTGTGGTTCCCCGGCGGCCATGCAGACATCGGTGGGGGATACCAGCGCGAGCCGACAGAGAAGAAATACCAGCTCAGCCATGCACCACTGGTCTGGATGGTCCAAGAGGCATCTCGGTGTGGACTGCGGTTCGATCCGCACAAACTCCAATCCGAGGGGTGCTTCCTCGATCCGGAATCGCCAGATGCGTTCTACAAGGATCTTGATGAATCCATCACGACAGGCCAGTTGCATGATCGTCTTGAGTTTGGCCCCGGAATGTCTGTGCCCTCCGTGCTGGCATGGCGAATCATGGAGTATCTGCCAATCCGCCGGGCGGAGAGACAGCTCAATGGGATGTGGAAGTCCATCCACTGGCCGCTACATCGCGGGAGGTATCGGGAGATGGGGCTTGATGATGTGATCCATGTCTCTGCTTTCCGTCGGATGGAGGCAAATCCCGATTATCGTCCGGTCAGACTCATAGCTGGAGGTTGGAAGTACCTTCGAAAGACACCTGCAGAATTTGGGCGCGGCGAATTTGTGATCTATGAGAATGAGGGTGATCCAGTGCGACAGACATATGTCAGGAGGAAGCCTCCAGTGCAGGACAAGACAGAATAATGCCGTTCTCTCATGTGGAGGATCTTGAGGGCATGACCGAGCATTATGTCTCAGTTGTAGAAGGCATGGGAAACCTGCTGATGAAGGATATCAACAATGCTATGAAGTAGTGAATTTCAGATAAAGAATATAATATGCCATAGTAGTATACACATACTGGCTCAACAGGTTGATTAGCTCTGGAAACCTCGGAGGCGGCGGTTGGGGAAGATCTTTCAGTCCTGACGCGTGTGGCGGTACCACAAAGCTAAGGTCTCATCTGGTTCCCTAATGCACTTTGGGCCAGAAGAAGTGGAAGCGAATGAATAATTGGAGAGGGCAACGGGGATGTCTGATGAAGGAATCTGTTGGTTTTCGTGGCATTGGTGAGGAGTTATCCTTATTGGAACATGTCTGAAATGGCGACATTGTGTCCCATGCGCAAGAGATAGAATACTGTTTTGGCGTAAGGCCCCACAGCTTTGGCTGCAACTCAATTGCCAAGATTTGCTAGAACGTATAGAGGTTAGACTGTGAGAAATGTCGTATTCAGACAGTGAGGTAAGTTGTAATTATATCATGTGATCAGATTTCTCTGACTCCTTAACTGACTTCGTCCTCTCAAACACAAGTTGACTGACCTGATTCATGGTTATCTTTGCTAGTTTCCTGCACAAGGAGCAATGACGCTTTTGCATATCCCCACTGATATACTGCTGTTGTTACCACTGTTCCTCGAGGAAGGGGATATCAACTCACTGTGTCAAACAAACCTCTGGCTGTATTCTCTCCTTAATCCATGTCTATACCGGCACAATTCCAAGTATTCCCGGAGCTCTGCCCTCTTATGGGCTGCTGGACATGGAAAAGAGGCCACAGCTCGATTAAGCCTTCAAGAAGGAGCCAAAACCGGTGTGGTGGATAACACTGGCCGGACACCCTTACGTTTGGCGGCGCAGCACGGCTACGTAGCAGTGGTAAAACTGCTACTCGCAATCAAGCAGGTAGATGTGAACACAACGGACTTCCTAGGGCGCACGCCGCTATACTGGGCTGCGATGAACGGCCACGCGACAGTGGTAGAACTGTTACTTGAAACTGGGCAAGTTGATATCGACTTGAAGGACTGTGAAGACTACACGCCCTTCTCTTGGGCTGTAGAACTTGGGCATGCGGAGGTGGTGAGGCTACTGCTTGGAACTGGGCAGGTTGATGTGAACTCAAAGGATGAATATGGCTGTACGCCCTTATCAAACGCAGCAACGCGAGGGCATGTAACACTGGTGAAGATGTTTCTTGAGACTTGGCAGGTTGATGTGGACGCAAAGGATGAATATGGCTGTACGCCGTTATCAAATGCAGTAATGGGAGGGCATGCAACACTAGTGAAGCTGTTACTTGAGACTGGGCAGGTTGACCCAGACTCACCGGACGTACGGGGCCGAACACCATTAGCTTTGGCGGCAGCATATGACTATGCTGAAATCGCAGAGCTATTACTTGATACTAGGCAGGTTGATGTGGAGTCAAAGGACTCACAGGGCCGCACACCATTATACCGTGCTGCAGCTAGTGGGAGTGAGGGGGTAGTGAAACTATTACTTCAAACCGGTCAAGTCGATGTCAACGTAAAAGATCGTTGGGGCGTTACACCATTGTCCAGGGCTGAACGTTTCTGCCATTATGGGGTTGTGAAGATTTTGTCTGAATTCAAGCAGACAGGACGGTATTAGTATTTATCAATCAATTAGAAACTCTGGGCCATCCTATAGAGGAACCAAGCTTGGAAAGTTAAAGTCCCATCAGATTATCTCTCTACTAACTGCCTATGTGGCCTACAGTCATTGGTTATTGGGAAGTTATGAGGTGTTGCACATATTAAAGCCCAACTGATGCAGCCAGGCCAGGTTTGGTCACTACACTCTGCAATATATCATTAAAGGCATAAGCTGGGCAAAAGGCTCCCTCTATAATTTCATAAATCCGCCAAGCCCTAAACGGGCTCTGCATTCTGTGACCTTTCTGGTTATTACTTCCTCTGAAGATCGAAGAACTATTGTCTGCCCGTTTAGACGGAATTCCTTTTCAGAGACCGGAAAGATACACGAGAAGCGGAAACATGTGTATGTCGTCGGAGTCAATCCATCACTCCCGGCAACAGGCAACCCCTAATTTTGACTCCGGTCACATACCATATTCGAAAACATACAGCTGAAGCTTCTAGATAGTGTACTCGCTAAACAACCAGCCTCTGTTAATGTCTTGGGATGGCTGCAGTATGATCCTGAGCAGAGCGAGGCGGCTGAAATGGTTTGCATTATTTGCTTATGTCGTTCAATCTTACAGCTACCAGTAGCTTGAGACTGCGTTATGATCAAGTATCTAGGGGCCAAGGCTCAACGCTGATATTAATATAGACTTGTTCTAACTACTGTTATTTAACAGGCTCCAGCCCGCTCATCCCGATTACTTTCTACCCAGCTGACCTACTCGGGGATTATAACGACATCTCGAAGACAGGGAATGCTTGACACTCCTTCCATGAGTTCGCCAAAAAACCGTCACAAGCGCCTTCCGGCGGAACGCGGCCGGCGACCAAACCTATATACATACTGATCGACTCCATCAACACTGACTAGCCACCCATAATTATTTAAACCCACTCCCTTCTTCTTCAATTAACAACCGTGGCATTCCCTTCTCAACCATGCAGCCCTCGTCCATAACCACACCGTATGAAAATCCATGGCTGCCTCCAAGCGATGGCTGACTATCACAATGGTATATTCTTGAAAATCCTCACGAACCCAGGCCTGACTTCCTCCAGAAGTAGAATCCCCTTTCCACCCTCAGGACCGTCTTGCTCCCGAATCCTTCGCCGTTGAATTGCCCGTCCTAGACTGATATGCTGCTTCTGATCTTCGGAAAGAGTATCAAATGAAAATGGTCCATACAGAGCCCCGCGCTCGGTCACGAACGGCCATAGGCCCACGATTCCCAGGGCATCTTGACAGTCGCAATCGCTCAAGACACCAAATGTATCAAGATTGCATTTGACCGCCGTGCTAGCACCGAGAAATACTGTGTCCTGGGGATGGCGAAAGTCATGGGTCAATTTTGTGGAGAGGTATATCAACAATGGTAATGATTTCGCACACATCGGGAGAGGGTCCAAGAGGCGGAGGAGAAAGCGGATTATGGAGGATTTACCACTTTAAGTGTGGAAGTCGTTTGGACTTTTGGGAGAATTTATTCCTTGTCAAAGCCATCTGCCTTCCTGTTCTACCACAGATGGCAACTCTTTCTGGTTGATAGTGAGGGTGAGGTTCTTTACAGCTAGGGTGCTTGGGTCATCTCCGCTCCCGCTATTTGCAAGCGTGGTTAACACATACACAGTGCCATGTTCAACGACACAGGCGTCTTCTCCCAAGGCCACCATGTGATCCGCGTGCGGTAGATGTTGAACAGAATGGGTACATAACACTACCGTGGCATTCCTGCGCCGCAATAGGCCTCCTGGGCCGAACACGCGATGGGAGACCTGTTCTTCTGTATTAGCACCTAGTCCCTCGAGCACATCATGAAATATGAGCAAGGCTGAATGAAGATATAAAACTTGAGCCCTTCATAATCGTTGCTTCTGTCCTCCACTCATACTAATCTACTACTACCGATCTCCGTTTTATTCCTTTTAGGGAGCGTAGACAGGTCTGCCTTGAGCATAGTCGCGTCTATGACCTCTTCGTATCCTCTTCGGTTGTAAGCAGCGAACCCAAGAATATTTGCCCGGATAGTACTGTTAGACGGATAGGGCGGCTGATCACAATATCCCAGCGTCAATAGGGACTTCCGCATGGTAGTAAGGGACCTCACCAAGCAAGACTTTGCATAGGGTGGACTTCCCTGACGCAATCGGTCCAACGGCCATCATGAAGTGGGACCTTGTGATGTGGAGAACAACGTTCTTTAGGGCCATTGTGTCAGGCTCCCATCCAAGCTTCCATTGACAATGGTCATCACTGGGTCGATCTTTCCGGTTCGGCCCCCGGGTTTCCAATCCTTCCTCTCGATATCCGCTTCGGAAGGCAACCGGAAGTCCACACTGCGGTTTCTGCTCCAGAAACCGTTGAATTTTGTCGATGCAGGTAAGGGTTACCAAAAGAATAGGGATTTCTGAAATACATACCCGAGAGGATCAGCTAATAGTAGAAGATAAGAGACCGCGTAAAAATCCTGCTAATGTCCATGTGCGATCTGTGACTGCAAAAGTTATCACATGCAAGAGAGCCAACAGTACGTAGCCCAGTATGACAAGGATGACATAGACCAGTCAAAAGCAACACGCAGCTTTCAACTGGTCAATCCGCATGTCTCATATCAGGTCCTGTACTGGGCAAGAAATTCCAGGTATCTTGAGATATTTCATATTCGAAATCACCTCTGCGGTGAGTCCGACTCTCTTCTGTATTTCGCTTTCTGCTCATGACTTTTCTTTGCCCCTACGGCGGCGATCTATGCCTTTGTCTTGCTCCGGAATAGCGGTTCACAAATGCAGCATGGACAACGCAGCAAAAAATCTATGATCAAGGGTGCAACAAACACCGCCCCATAAAGAAACCTGGAAGAGTATATTAGGGTAAAATTGATATGCTAAGAAAAGCACGTGGATGTGGTGCAGCTTGCAAGTCTAGCCAGTGATTAGGGTTCTGCCAATACCAGACGAAGCCCGAAGTCAAGCCCGAACCGTCCAGAGTTGACAAATATCGTGGATTCCAATCATCCAGTGTGGGTGGCGATCAAACCTGGAGTGATTGATAACTAAACATAATTACCTACCCCTGGTACTAAAAACAAGCCAGCAAGCATCCCTACTTCCCTGAGCTGGGCCCCAGTCCATGCTTTTCATCCGTGCACCCATAGTAAAATTCTGGTGGATGACACCCACTTGTCCTGCCGTTCCAACGGTGCCCCACTGCAACAGGATTCTATTCCGTCTGGGCATACACCCCGAATGGAAGGAGGTCTGCACCTCCACAGGTCATCCGACGCCCGGAAACTCCCGACATTTCATTCCTACCTAAAGCCTTGAATCTCCGTCAATATATGTGCTCAACTTCCGCCGCATTTGACGAGCTAGACTTACCACTCTCAACCCATCTTTTCCCACCCAGATAGAGCTTGACGACTCCAGTCGGACACTCCCCGGGCAGATGCAGCAGCGTTCTCAACGCTGCCCTACGCCGTCGAGGCGTTTAAGGAAACGGAGGGCAAATCTTTGAACCTATGCAGACGACGAGCACAGTCCATCAATGACTCGATAAATCTCTCTGACATAGGCTTCGGTGTTGTCATTACCCAGAGTGCCTCTACCAGACATGTTGTTCATCACGTAGGTGATAGTCATGCGTCGGTCACGGTCCATGATTACCATTGATCCTCCCCAGCCTCCCCAGAAGCCAATTCGTCCTTCAGGAATCCAAGCACAAGTTTGCGGTGCTGGCAGAGCCACACCAAGGCCAAATCGCAGGAAATCGAAGGTGACAAGATCCGTTCCCTTTATCTGCTCCGTGAGCATTTTGTCAATGGTACTGGCTGAGATGATGCGCTTGTTCTCATCGAGAATGCCATCAAGAGAGACGATAGATCCGATTCTGGCCAATGCGCGTGCATTGGAGAATCCATTGTTCGCACCGCACACGGTTTTTCTGAAGCCTGGCGTCATAGAGGCCTCAGCGGGAAAAGGTGAGCCCGCGATCGCCTTTGCCGTTATACTTTGCGGATCCAGCTCGCCGAACGGCAGCGGTGGAGGTGAGATGATATCCGCTGTGCGTGGCCAATGTTCTTCTGGTACGCCGTACTGAAAGTCAGCTTCCAAGGGACCTGTGATTTCGTCGGCCACAAACTGCTCAAGTGGTCTGCCAGTTATACGTCGAATGATTTCGCCGACAAGGTGACCCTGATTTGTGAGATGGTATCCGCTCCTCTCACCCGGAATCCACCAGGGGGCCTGAGCAGCAAGCTTCTCGGTAGCCTTTTTCGTGTCATATATCTCTTCCAGCGTTATAGGAAGCTCCCATGCGGGCACCCCAGAAGAGTGACTGAGAATGTGGGCCACTGTGACATCCTCTTTGCCGTTGGCTCCAAATTCCGGCCAGTACGTGGCCACCTTCTCATTCACATCAAGCAGACCACGGTCGACAAGGATGAGAGCTGCTAAGTTGGTGACAACTTTGGAGCACGACCAAACCACTGTAATTGTGTCTTTCTGCCAAGGCCGAGTCCTGGCCACATCTGCGTGGCCTCCCCACAGGTCAAGTATATTTTTCCCATTGACATTCACACAGAGGGATGCACCTAGTTCATCCTTTGAGGCGATTCTCTGTTGGAGAAGATCACGTACAGAGTGCAAGGCAGGGTCACAGGTCCCATAAATTTCATTCATTGTTGATTGAGATTTGTGAGATCAGTTAAGCTAATGAAGATGAGAGAATTGTTCCACAAGGATAATAAACAAGGCATGCCAATTCTTATAAATGAATCGACGTTCAATAGGGATGGGAGATTCCAAACTTATGACTGACTGAAACACTGTTGCCTAGTGATACGCATAGTGCTTTAGCTTCGAAATTTTTGATATAGATTACCGCTTGCCTGATTGAGCCTACAGCATGGACCTTCCTGATTTTGATTAGATAGATTACATTCCCTTAATGGCCGATAATCAGTCAATTACCCCTATCTAGATGCCTGCATCCGGCGGTATAAGATCTAGCTAGTCAGATGATAGATTAGAAAGAATTATACCTTCTGAACTTTCTTATTAGTAGGCAAATTACTAGTAATTAAGTAATCTTATATAGTTTAGTAATTTCTAATAGTTATAAGCCCAGATTACCTTTAAGATGTACAGATTTAATTATTCTAAGTACCTAAAATTAGTAGTTCCTATTTAAAAGAGCCCTA